TTGTTTTGGTTTTTTTGTTGTTGTTTTGAGACTTACAGGATGATTTTTTTCTCAAAGAGTACCATAAAAGGTAGCATGAATTGTGGGTTTCTAGGAAACTAAAATCACAAATTGTGAGAAATGAGAACTCAGATATAAAATAATCAACATTTTGAATTCTTTATACCTGTTCTCCAGTTATATATTGCTTCCAATTCTATATTGGTAGAATTATTAATTTAATATGAAAGAAATGTTCTAATGTATAACAATGCCAATGAGATTGACATTTTGTATAAACTACTTTTCTCTGCAAAATATTTAAACTAATAGATCACCTTCTCTCTTGACAAAAGTGCTCAATATATTTTATTCTATTTTATATTATTTTATTTTATTTTTCGGGCAGGGATCAAACTCAGAACTTCATGCTTGTGAAGCAAGGGGCAGAACCACTGAGCTAAATCCCCAGCCCTCAATATATTTTAAAGGCTGAATACTTGGTATTTTCAAAATCATGCACTTAACATTTTAATGACAATATACACTAACAATAATATTATGAGTAGAAAAATTTAACATAAGTGACTTAAAAATTGTTACCACACTCAACTTGAGATTATAAGACTATGACTTAATAAAAGCTTCAGTGATACTTCCCACATCTTCAAATGCTACAGATGAGTTTCTAAAAGTGTTTTGTATTTTCCTAGTGGGATTCAATGGAATTGAAGAATTCACTTTTCATCAATCTTCTTTATTTTTGGCATGACTATTAGATATTTTAGGCTATGTCATATATTCCCTGTTTTTCCCTGGGGTTTTATTTAAGACCACAAGTTTTCTGCCCTAAATATAAGTGCTTGTGTTCAATAACTGAAAATGTCACTGGCCACTTAGGTTCATATGCCTCCCTTCTTTTGGTCCCAGCTGACCACACTGAAGGAGACCATTTATTTTTTATAAAAAGTAAAAATATCTATTATTAAAAACTAGCTCCAAGCAGATGTGGGGGCCTCAGATCACTATCTCACTGTGTACAGATGTGTGAGAGTGTTTTATAGCTAAGAACAGTGGATGTAGGGAATAAAATGAGACAATAGACTTATTTCCTCAGGCTTGTTTCATCGCTGCCTCTATCCTGATGTCTTATTTGGAAATGAAATGTGGAAATAAAACCGAACTTTGACCACCTGAAGCTAACATCTGCACATTCAGTCCTCCGGGCTGAGGTGTCCTTTTATGTCCTGAGGAAGTTTGGAGAAGTAGTCTCTTGACTCTAAAGCAAAATGTCTAACTTTTAAATTTCCATTTTGCTATACCTGTTTAAAAACATCTTGTTAGTGTTTGAATAAGATAAAAGGTAAATTTTATTGGCATTGAATGATTATTTTGGATCTGAATATCTAGATTAAAAATAATTTCAAAATATTTACTTATTCTAAAAATCATACCTGTATAATGAAAATAGGAAATGCTGTATAGTGAGTGCAACTCATTTACGTAGGTTTGTCTTTCCTGTATTAATTGCCATACACATTTGAAATTCAGCCTAATTTTTTTTTTTAGTTTAGCAATAAAATCAAGTGCCGTTTTATATTTTCCCAATCTCTACAGAAAACATTGTTTCCAAATTAGTTATACTGGCTTTTGAAAAACAAGAATGTCTTCATTGCTTTCCTGAGAATCTAGCTAAAAAATTCATCATAGAATGTTTACATTTTTAGCCCTCTGTCCCAATTTAGACCCAAGTGAAATTTTATTCTTCTTTCACATTGTTTATTTTAATGTAATTTCAAAAGTATAGAACAATTATGGGATAAAATTTCATATAGGTTTAGTGCACATTTGTTTTGTCTTATGTGCTTGACTATACTACCCCTCTTTTTTCTCTGCGGGAATATATTTTATGTGAGCATACAAATATACACATCTACATTGTTGCACACATATTCATATAGGTATCTATATGATACTTTCCCAACTATTTCAGAATAAATTGCAGATGTGCATGACGCATTGTCTCTCCATATGCAGTACATATCTCCTAAGAACAAGAAAATTTTCACACATAATCTATGATGCTGAATTTTGTCAGCTTGACTGAGCCATGAGCTAATCAGACATTTGGCCAAACATTACTCTGGGTGTGCCTGTGAGAATGTGTTTGGATAACATTAACATCTGGACTGATGAACTGAATAAAAGAGATTACCCTCCCTAATAAGGGTGTGCCAAATCAACAAACTGAGACTGAAGTAGCACACACACACACACACACACACACACACACACACAAAAAAAAAAAAAATCTAAGAAGAAGAGAACTTCTCTTGATTACTTGCCTTAGTTGACACGTTGTCATTTCATTCTTCAAAGCTGTACAGAAATTTTGGCTTTTTTGAGATCTCAACCCTAGATTTCACACCATAAATGCACATTTGTTCCTCTGAGTTTGTAGGTTGCCAAGAGCAGATCTTTAAGACTTCTCAGCACTCTTAACAGTGTAAGATAATTTTTTAAATGATACATAAATACACATATGTACACCTTCTGTTGGTTCTCTCTGGAGAGCACAGACAACATATTGTAATACAATTGTCAAAAATCAAAACATATTAACATTGATACAACTATAAGGCTCACAAACCATATTTCCCAACAATATTATTTATTTGTAAGATAATTTTTGTCCTGACATTTGGTCCAATCAAAGCCGCAAACATTTAATTTCTATATATTATAACCTCTTTTAATCAAGAATAGTTCCTCATTGTCTCTCATGATGTTAGCATTTTAGGAAACTAAATGTAGTTTATCTTGTCAAGTGTTTCTCAGTTGAGCTGGTGTGGTATTATTTTATTGTTAGTAATTTCACAGCAATGATGATTTACCTTTCTCAGTACATCACACTGGAGGTACATTAGTTTGTCTTATCAAATAATTGGTGAAATATGTTGACCGATTTCTTTTTTAGTATTTTTTATTTAGATGTTTTAGTTTATTGGTAAATTTAGTTATCACAATACCCAACTTGAAACTATACTGCAAAGCCACTGTAAAAAAAAAAAAAAAAAAAGCATGGTACTGGCAAAGAAACAGACTGGAGTATCAGTGTAATAGATTAGAAGATGAAGAAACAACTCCTGACATACTCAGATACTTCATCTCTGACAAAGGAGACAACCTCCTCACTGGAGGAAAGACATCCTCTTTAATAAATGGTGTTGGAAAAACTGGATTTCATACTCAGTAACACACACACACACACACACAAAAAAAAAAAAAAAAAAAAAAAACAAAAAAAACAAAAAAAAACTGAATTTCAACTTGCCAAAGATTAAAACTACACCCGTATGTTTCACCATGCACTAAATAAAATTGAAGTGGATTAAATATCTAAATATTAAAACAAAAACATTTGCCAAAAAAGGAAGAATTCTTGAAAATGTTGGTATAGGAAAAGATTTTAAGTACAAATCCTCAGTAGCATGGGAATTAGAAGAAAGAATAAACAACTGGGATCTCATCTTTTTAAAAGTTTTCTGCACTGAATTAATTTCTTGCCAAATAATGAAAGTGAGAAAACAGTGCATTGTTACATTTAAAGTACTCTAGGTCAGAAAGGTTAAAGTATCTAAGCATTTTATTTAAAGGCCCAATTTCCTGCTGGCTTCTTCCAGCTTTTGTGATCGCTGTCGTTTCTTGTTTTGTGACTGCATCACCTGAATCTTCAAGGTAAGCATCTTTACATCTCAGTGTGTCCATTTTCGCCTTGCCTTCTACTCTTTGTGGAATTCTGTCTCCCTCTCTTTTCCATTTTACATTTTTGTTTTTTATTTTAAATTTGTGATACTAGATCTATCAACATGCAGAAAAATGAATCTTTTTTTTTTCCATTGAGTTTATTGGTACATTTTGGGTATGAAACACAGCTACTTTCATCATTAGGATCTTCTACGTTTACATGATGTGCCTTTGTTCTTGTTTTTTCCCCCATTCCCCTGCCCTCCCATCACCCCTTCCACTGTTCCCTATTTACAAAGACTTTTTTTTCCATGTTTTTCCTTTTTTTATTTTTCCTTTCCCTTCTTTCCTTTTTCCTACCCCTCCCACTTCCCCTACCCCTTTAGATGTTTTCTTCCTATTTCACAATATCAATTATATGTTTTAATCCTTATTTATATTTTTAGATTTTTACACCAAAGAAGCTATTCTGTATTTGCACATGTATGTCCTATTGATTTCACTTAAGAGTATGGCCTCAATGTGCATCCACTTAGCTATAAGTGTCTCTAGTTTCTCATTCTTTATGGCTGAGCAGTACTCCGTTTTATTAAAAAAGAAAAATAAAACACATCTTCTTTATCCAGTTTCCAGTTGATGGGCAAATGGGCTATTTCTGCATTTTACCTATTACAAACTGTGCTGTTAGAAACATGGGTGAACATATATCACTGTGGTATGATTCTTTTAATTCTTTTGGAAAGGTACCCAGCAGTGGAACAGCTGGGTCAAATGGGACTTCTAATCCTAGCTGTTTGAGGTATCTCCATATTGATTTCCACAGTGTTTGCACCAGTCTGCACTTCCCCCAACAATGGAGAACGGTTCCTTTCTCCCCACAACCCCGCCAACATTTGTTATCATGTGATTTCTTGATAGCAGCCATTCTTTCTTGGGTGAGGTGGAATCTTGATTCATATCTCTGTCTTTCCTAGAAATGTACACGTAATTACCTCCCTGTGCTTATATGAATAGAAAACATATTTTCAAAAGAAAGGTAAAGTTACTTTTAAAATGTGAAAGCCTATAGAATTGATCACCAGAAGACACATATTGCAATACATTTTAAAACAAGGACTTCAGATAACTAGAAACTGATATTTTTTTAAGTGTCTACAAAAAGAAATGAAGAACATGGTAATCACATGCATGGAGAATATTCTTTATTACTTGTACAGGTTCAAAATATAATTGCATAGAAGAATTAAGGGTGTATTGTAAGGTCATGTCTTGGATTTGCTGAAGCACTGGAATGGGTTGTTGAGAAACTCAACAAAATACCTGGAGATAGCTTGTGTGATAAAAGGTTTTATTTAGATTCACTAACAAGTACCTACAGGGAGGATAGTTTTATCTGACAGTTTCCAAAAGGGGAGGGTCTGTGAGAGACAGGAGGATTTCATCAGCACCACGGGAATAGTACGCCAGGGCTGCATACTGAACAAAAGCACATAGGAGGTCAACTGGTGACAAGCTAGACATATATTCACCAGAAAATAATCTGAGTGTTCAGTGGTAGCTGCTGAAGTGCAGTTCTCAGTTGTGCTCTGTTCTACTCTGAGTTACTGAAGGGAGGAGAGTTTGTAGATTAGTCACTTAAGCAGTGACATCCTTAGCTTGCTTTTTTCTATTTTATGGCCACCATTTCAAGGATCAACTGATATAGCACATGGACGGGGAAGCAGGTTCTGCAGATGGCATTAGTTAGTCCAGTTCCTGGTATTCTTTATGGAAACTGTGGTTCCTGTCTTCTTACAGTGTCCTCTTGACTTGGCAAGAATCTTGGGAACAGAAAGGTGACACTTCAGTGACATATACTACATGCTCCAATTTTTCTTAGCCATGACACCAGCTATAAAACACATATTCCTATATGCAAAACTATGCAATGCAATTTATGAACACAGCTGCAATATTGTGTACTAAAGGAACGAAACCAAAACACTACATATATAGTCTCACTATGAAGATAAGTTTCTGAGCATAGATGTAGCAGAATGAGGGTAGTTGATTACCTTAAGTGTTCTGGACAAAGGAAACAATTGGTAGGAAGGTCCCGGATGGAAAGTATGCGCCTGGTATTCAAGTAAAAATGAGACCAGTGGGGATATATTGTAGTAAATTACAAAAGAAGAAAAAGAGCTCTGAGTGTAACATGGAGACAGATTACATAAGCACTTATTATTACTTGATTTTTTTGTGTGCTTGGGATTGAATTTAAAGTCTTATGTTTGCTAGGCAAGGGCTCTACCATTGAACTATATCTCTAAACCTATAATTGATCTTAACTGCTTATAGTATAAGTGCCATCAGTTTTCAACATATGCTTGACATGATCTGACAGAAATTTTAACCGGATCACTAGTTATTTTGATCAGGCTAATGGTATGTTGTCAAGAATAGGAAAGAAGGAGTCTGCTTGAAGGCTATTGCAACAGTTCAGTCTGGAGATGATAGTTATAGAAAAGATACGAGTAAGAATGGTGAGAAGCTATAGATTATAGAGATAGAAAAAAAACTGAATTTGAGTATGGGCATACCATAAAGGAAGAAAAATGTGAGTAGCAAACTTGAGGTTTGCCTGTTATTTGAGATGGACAAAATCAAAGTTGAATGGGTTGCAACTAAATCTGTTGTTTTATATTAACTTCTAGAGTTTTCACAAATAATTATTGGATAGGTAGTATCATCTCAATTTACAGACACTAAAATTGGGATATAAAAATGTTAAAAAGCTTGCTCAAGATTATAACCTAATAAATATGCAAGCCAGAATTCAGAAAACTGGAATCAGTGTTTTTAATAACTAGGCCTGCTACTGCTCAAAGTCAATTAAGTGTTCTTAATATGAGAATAGACATGTGCCAAAGAAAGCATTTTTAACTGTGTACCTTAATCTTAATTGTATACCTGATTGCATTCAGAGGCTCCAGGGAGATTATTGGATTTGAGGACATTAATTTCATCAGTGAGTTAACCCATTGATAAGCTCAGAACTAAATGGGTAACTAGGAGATGGAGACTAGTTAGAGAAAGTAAGACATTAGGTGCCAGTCCATTGAAATGATACCCTGTCCTTGACCCTTCATCTTATATTCTTCTGCTGCTCTCTGCTCCTTAGATGCCATGATTTGAATAGCTTTCTTCTTCCTTGTCCTTTACCATGGTGCAAAAACTAAACTGCTTCTCAGTGCCAAGAGAACTTTCCAGGCACTAGCCCCCTCTCAGTCACCAACTTAACAGATGGATTCAAATCTGATGCAGACTGTAGCACATCTCTGTTGTCCTAATTTGCTCACCATAACAGTAGCAGTAAGCAGCAGATCGCTGTGTCAACAATTGGCATGCAGCATTATCTCGAGTCACCTGGTGACAACAGAACTGCTAGCAGAGCTGTACTTTGCTAATTCCCAATTTCTATCTGAAAGGAGCAAAAGAACCCTAGGCTGTTGGGTAATACCTCTGGGGGCTGAGAAGTAATTAAAATGGACGATGGCGATCAGTGACACTCTTGTAAGAGATGATTACCTCAGGGATGTTGTTATAATATTTATCAATAAGACAAGATGAATCTCACTGGCTGATAATGAGGACTACCGCTTCCACTCTGGTAGATTTGAAATTTAGGACATCAAGAGTCATCCAAACAGATCCTAATGCCACCTTTCAAATTCCCTTTCTCAAAAAAAGCCCTAATTGTCACCCAAAAGGCAAGACAACTCTGTGTTATTCTGGCCACTCGCATGATCAAAGATTAAAATAACAGCAGTTAACAGAGTTCTGTGGCCTTAGATGTGTCTTTTGACAAATCTGCATTTGGCTATACTCTGAATCTGTTTATTTATTATTATTTTTATGTTTAAGTTTTCCCACACAGTTATCCATTTATGGTAATAAGTTTATAATTTTTACATTTGCCATGGTATTTTACTGTAGCAGACATGATCGTCAATAGACATTGATCTTCAATAGATATTTTATTTCATCAACACTTTTTATATATCTTTTTCATCACTGAACTCTTCAGAAATGTCAGTCTGTTTTCTCATGTTCATGAGAACATGGGTGCTTTCAAATGTAGCTGAAAAGGAAAACAATATCAGAATATAGTGTCTCTGCTTGTAACAAGTGATATTAAATTTCCTATCAGTTCATATTCCATCCTATATAACAATATTCCCTCTACTTATTTTAAGAGAAAATAGCTATAAAATTTTAAAGATTTTAGTATTATCCAGGGGATAAGGGGAGCTGAGAGGCAGCAGACTCTCAAAAAGGCTTTCAAGAATGTCTCCCAAAGCCATAAATTACAGATGCAGGACACTGAAAAAGCTTCTCAATTATGTGATCCAGAGATTATTGCATTGACACAGCTTTTGCCAGGATCACTGTATCACAAATCTATCACATTCAGGAAGTTACTCAGTTTCCAGAAATTGAGTGAAACCAACCACAGATCTCCCACTTTTTTCCTCTTGATGGATATGTAAGTGAAGTATATTTAACTAATATTAACACAGAAAAACAATGGATTCGGTAAACCACAAAACCAAGAGTTCAAACTCCACCCTACTTTTTTTTTTTTTTTTTTGGTTTTTTGAGACAGGGTCTCAGTATGTAGTTGAGACTGACCTGGAAGTCACCATGTAGCCCAGGCTGGTCTCGAACTCATCCATCCTCCTGCCTCAGCCTCCTGAGTGCTGGGATACAGGTGTGTGCCGCCACACCTGACTAAACTCCACCCTACTTTCACCTTCCCATCCTACACAAATATATTTGATTACCCAACATTTTATTATCTACAACTGACTTGCAAGAAGTGTGGAAAATGTAAATGAGATTTTTCATCTGGACACTGATGGCCAATTCACCACCCCATTTCAGGACCACTTGTGATGTCTGCAGAGGCTCTCCTCTTGGGATCTTTCACTGCACTTTGCTTCACACAGGTTGTGGGGTCTTCCTCTTCCTGCAGTTAAAGTTTCTGAGTTCTCTCTATTGCTCGAACTGTCACTTCATTCTTTGTTGGAGTCACAAGGTCTCTCCCTGCATCCTTTTGGAAAGTGTCTTTTCATGGGTGATACTGAGCTGCCTGTCTACTCTGGGGCTGTGCACTGTGCAATGGAATGGACTAGAGTTATACTTTAGGAAGGGAGACAACTTACTTCCAGTGCAGCCTTTGGTCTCATTGCTCTGCAACTATAAAGAAATTTGTCTCTACATGTTTTCCCCTTTGGACTCCTCAGCTGTGGGTAAGTATCCTGGGGCTGCGTATTTGTACCTCTGAAGTTTCTCTGGAAAAGACAGTTTGAGGTGACTCACAACATGTTGACTCTTTTCTAAAGGAATTTTAATTCCCACTCTTCAAACACTCTTTTAAACTCTCCAGGTAGATGGCCAGATAAACTTCGCAAAACTGAATTAAAAAATATACTAGCGTGGATGCACCTTGAGACCAAATGGTAAATGTAATAAATCAGACACACAAGCTTAAATATACCACGGGAGTCTCTTATATGAGAAACCTAAATTATAAGCAAAGGAAAAAATAACAGATAGATAATAGGAAGTAGGGAGAAAGATTTTTTTCTAAGATGGGAAGAATATCAAGAAATGGAGGGAAGGGCAGAGAAGGGAGGAAAGGGAATTTAAAAAAAAAGAATCACGATGTGTTATGTACGTGTGCCAACTCCACACAAGGAATGTGAACATTTTGTGCTACAAATATGTACTAATGAAAAATAGAAGTAATTAAGTAAAATGGAAAAATAACGCAATTCCTCATAGCTGAAAAAAATATGACAGCTTGTACTGCCAATGCTACTCTAATGCCAAGGTGTTTGTTAATATAGCAACCACAACCAAAACTAAGAAGGGTGATGTATTTTAAAAGACTTGATACCTTTACATGTTATGTGTGTATATGCTTATTTTAACATAACTTTAAATAAAATAAACTATGTTTTTTTAAAGGCATATGGAGATTTAAACGTACAGTCGCTGATAGGAGATACAAGCTTCAAAATACCTGTTCCCATTCTTATTATACTCAGATTGTAATATAAGCATTACTGTTATATTTGCCAATACTCTATAAAATTCTAGGCAAGGATGGCTTTTTAATTTGTTGCTCAATGCCTTTTAGTCTATAGTAATTAGAGTTTACTATATTAACTAATGTTTCTCAACTTTTACTTTGAATATGAACTATGAAGAAAGACTTTTAAAATAAGATTTTTTAAAAGTAGAGCTGAGGAATATGTATGTTTAACAAGTCTTCTAAGTGATTCTAATGAGTATTATCTATACCAGATGGCCAAAGCTAGAGATAAAACTTTTTTTGTGAAATATTTTTCTCTTTGTACCACCGGCTCGGGAAATATTAACAGATAAAATCTGAATGCCTTTCCTATCCTCAGTAGGATAGCTGGTCGTAAAGATCTTTATTCCACTTCCAATCTAATGCACCCTACCCACTGGCTAGAAAAGTATCCTATGTTCATAAGTGTAACTCCAGATATAGTTTCTAGATACACATTACATTATCTCATATAAAATTAAAATTACTTTACTTGGATGTTGATATTTTCTCCATTCAAAGAAGAAAGCAAATAATCAAGATTATAGGCAATTCAATTTAGGTCAGTACTGCCCAGGTCTCAATTCTCAATATTTTTATCCTCCATTCCCTTCAGAGCATTTAGAAATTATTCTAAAAATTCAAAAAGTGCTCAGTTGCATGATTTGAATGCATAAATCTATGATTTAGCATCTTGATTTTTATGTTTAATTATCTACTTTTAATTTTCTGTGATTCAACATTGGAAATAGACAGTATAATTTTTCTTTTCAAGATATGAGAGTGTTTTTCAAATGCATATAATCTAAATCTTGCTAAAATATTTAACATTTTGGGGGCCTGAAAGGTGGGGAAATATGTCCATTGTGAGTGCTTTGAAAAATCCAAAACTGAAAAAAAAAATTCTACTACCTATGGATACTCAAATTAATCGTTATACACGAAGTGACTTTTCCCAGCAGAATATTTTGAGAACTCCTTTTCAGTGTGTTTACTTTCTCCAGCTGTTATTCTTGCTTATTCTTTCTGTTTCTTTTTCACTAATTTGAACAATCTCCTCAGATTATTTCCACTTAAAGTTGAGTCATTTTTTTTTTTCACAGAAACACTGCCCGCTACCCTCATAAAATACCTGGCAGGATTGATAGATTCTCACAAACCAAGACGAGATATTTTCAGGATTCAAACTTGCTCAGTCTCTGCCTCCTTTTTGGCTCTCCAGCCATGTGTACTAAACGTTTTCACAGTTGCCTCGAGTGTCCTTGCCAGAACCTGAAACACAGAGCTCTACTTACGTCAGTGACTAATTTCTCATTCATAAAAAATTGTGTCTTATTTCATTTTCTAAAGCTGCCAACATAATATCACAGAGGAAGTAAAAGCTTATAAAATAAAAATAACACACTATGCACTGCTAAATATGTAAAAATATATTATGTATTTTATATTATAATACAATATTTATAAAAGTAAAAGAGTTTATTTTGTTTTACAGTTCCACAGGTGCAAGTTGGAGGAGAGCTTGCATCTGGTGATGGCCTTTTTGGCAGAGTCTCAGATGAAGACATCATATGGTAAGAGTCAGGCAACACATACATGTGTCAACTGATCTAAAAAGCCACATGGTTTCAATTATGAATGATCCACTTTAATGACCTTATCTAGTCCTCCTCACCTCCCAAAGAGCACACCTATAAAATTCATAGTTCGAGTAAGTTTCTGCTTTCTTAGTACCTCATAATGAGGATCATGTTTCAACATATGGATCTTGGAAGGACACAAATAATATCCAAAGTACAGAAGTGACATTTAGAATGAAGCTTATCTACTCTTGTCATCTATGAGATTAAATTAGATATGTGCTTGATTTAGTTTCTTCAGCTCCATAGGAACTCTGGATTATATCTTCTCAACCGATCTATTGGGTGTAGCCAAATTGTTGACTAAATTACTGGCATAGCATCCTTCTCCCTGGCATTGTTAGCTGAAGTTCTGAATGCCTAGAACATTCCCTACCAATTCTTTCTTTTAACTCTGCTACTATAACCTCTTTATTGAACAGTTTGTCCAATACGATATCTTTCATTAATAGTAGAGCTCAATCATTATAATTTCTTTGCAATTTGATCATTTATCAAGGTTTCAAACTGAAAATGATAGTTGATGTCAACTTTTTTCCCATTCCTTCTACTATTTTCCCCTTTGATTTTACTGCCAGTTCTCTTTTGTTATTGATTCAGTGATTTAAAATATTTACATTCAAAGATAAGAATGATTAAGCCAAATGAATGAAGGTGTAAAAAATGTAACATTATATATTATACCATGATTGAGGGACTTGTCCAACAAATCATACTAAGTGTTGTCTATACTATTTTTAATTGTGATCATCATTGAAGAGAATTTATGTTGCTTTCAAGGAAGAATCTTTTATTTCTAGATAACAATCTTATGCATCTTTAAAAGATGAAGGAATGATCAATAGCTGTGGTCTTAGAGAATTGCTTGTGATTTTTTACCCCCTTTAAAAAAGAGAGCACTGTTGTCTTATTTCAATATACATATGAATTGAACTGACTTACTAGGATAAGCCCTTTACTTATTGAGTACCATAGATTTAAATAGCTCTTTGTGGAATCAACATACTTTATTTGGCCTCCAAGTACTAGTTATTCAGAGCTCAAACTAAGTCACTCCTCTGTTGTGGCCCATGAAAATTCATTGGCTTTTTCTGGTTAAAAAAAAAAAAAAGTACAGGGCTATAGGTGTAGGGAAAGTGGGAGGGGTAGGGGAAAGGAAATAGGGGAAAAGAAAAAATATGAGAAAATGAAAAGATGGAAATAAAGAGTTTGTAAATGGGGAGGGGAGGGGGGGTGAAGGGAGGGCAGGGACAAGGGGAAAAAATGAGAACCAAGAACTGTCATGTGAAGGTACAGGATCCCATTAATGAATATAACTGTATTGTAGACCTAGATTGTACCAATAAACTCAATTAAAATAAAGTACAGATGATAAAACTAATAACTCAAGGAAAAAGATAACTGTGACATTTAACAAGAACAAAATAAATGGTTCAAGTTAAGGCTAATATTGCTTTGCAGACTATGAAATGCCATAGTCTTAGTAGTCTCAAAAGGCCAACATTTTTCAAAGTCTCTCTGAAATGTTAAAGAATATTTGATAAGAGAGCACGTCTTTATAAATTATACCCTTATAGTAAATAAGTCATGGCTTCCTGCTTCACACGTGTTTCCAAAGTCTAAGGCTGAAATCTTCTTTAGCATTTAAAGCATACATTGATGTTAAAATCATTTACAAAAATATAAATATATAGCATACATACTTTTTATTATGATTGTATTATTCTCTATGGAGCTCAAACTAATCACTAATGTTAAAATATTGGATTGCTACAAATATTCTCACTTACTTAAACCTGAAACCAAGCCTGAAAGATGTTTTAAAACCTTTATTACACAATGAAATAGTTACCAGCATTCTTGGAAGCAATAGAATCAAACTAGTCATCTTTAATATTATTATTTTCCAAAGTAAAAATTCCTTTAAAATCATCATTTGAGTTTTTCAGTTTGTAGTCCACTAATGAAAAGGAATTTTTCTTATGTGTCAACTATGCCAAAGGAAGAAGGAAAGGATTTCTAGAATCTGCTATTTTCTAGAATGTAGTGATTCTGGAGACAGAATGAATGAAGTTTAAAATTCAGTCATGCTGTTTGGCTTAAATAACACAAAGTCTGTGACTCAATTTCTTCAGTCCTTAATGATGCAATAAAAAAACGTTAACACTTGTAAGAAAGACACAAGTCTGGGTGTGTTGGTGTATAGTGGTAACCATAGCACTCTGGGAAGTTGGACAGGGGGATTGTAAGTGAGAAACTGTCTCAAAATTTAAAAGTAAAAATATTAAAAGGGGGCTAGGGGCAAAGGTCAGTGTGAAGGCTCTGGGTCCATTCCAAAATACCACAGAAGACCAAAACCAAACAAACAAAAAAATGAATGTAAAGAAGGACCTTGCCCTGGCTGGGCTGTAACATAGATTATTTTTCAATAGTTCTTGTAACAATAACTGAGACAAAGGCAGAATTATTAGTATGACTGTCATCTAGTTAACAGGAATATAGCCAGAGACTGAAACTATAGAAGACAGTATTAACTAAAGAATCCATGCAATGTCAGATACAGAGCTGCTTTAAAGCACTGACAGACCTTCACTCAAATCAGAACATTTTCATTATCACCTAGGAACCAGTATGAGAGAATGCCCTGCCCACTATCCTAAACTGTTATCTTCATGATGAATATCTTTTATAAATCTATCTTGTCCTATGCCTATATTCATTGGTTTATCCAGCAGATATCCTTAAGACAACTATGTGATTCATTCTGATAATATTTAAATGTACCAAGAAAGTTTGACACATAATAAATATTTAGCAAATGCTACATTATTTACCTCAGTTTTCATTCTATGGTTTACCATAGAATGTCCACGTATAATGTTTTCTTTTTACATTATTCGTTAAAAACCCGAGTGTCACTCGTAAGTATGGTGATTTTACAAATGGAAAAATTAATTGACAAAGTAAAAAAGAAGATGACATCTAAAGTGACTATTAGTTTTTAGTCCCATTAAAAAAACTCAGTCTGAATTCTTTCTTTTACCCAATATTTATTCAGATTTTGCAAAGTATATAAGAGTAGAGAAAATGAGCTAATTGAATGCACTGGCAACTTTGGAGATTTTTGTGGGTTCACTTCACCAGCTGAACCAGTTGTACACACAAGCAACCAAGTATAAAGGGCCTGCAGTTGACATTGATCTTGCCACCACCTACTCCTTTGTGAGTCTCTTCCAGCATGGACAAGTGGAGAAAATCACCAGTGATCAGGGTAACTGAACCACCCCAAGTTATGTCACTTTCACCAACACTGAATGACAGATCAGGGATGCTGCAAAACTCAAGTTGCAATGAATCCCAACAACACAATTTTTGATGCCAAGCATCTGATTGTACATAGATTTGATGATGCTGGTGTCCAGCATTGGCTCTTCATGCAGGCAGACCCAAGGTTTCAGTCGAATACAAAGGAGAAACAAAAAGCTCCAGTCCAGAGGAAGTATCTTTTATGATGCCAACAAAGATGAAGGAAACTGCAGAAGCATCTTGGGAAGACTTACTAACATCGTGGTCATTGTGCAGCTTTCTTTAATGACTCTCAATGTCTCAAGATGCTGGAACCATTGCTAATATTAATGTGCTTAGAATTACCAATGAGCCAACAGCTGCTGCTATGCTTATGGCAAGACAAAAAGTTTGGAGCTGAAAGAAATGTGCTGATTGTTTATTTAGGTGGTGATGCTTTTGATATGTCAATCTTCACTATTGAAGACCGAATTTTCAAGATTCAATCCACTTAGGTGCACAAGACTTTGACAACCAAATGGTAAACCATTGTATTGCCAACTTTAAGAGTAAGCATAAGAAAGACATTAGTGAGAACAAGAGAGTTGTCCCCCACCTCTGTACTGCATGTGAATGAGCTAAGTGAACCCTCTTTTCCAGCATCCAAGCCAGTATTGAGATTGATTCCCTCTATGAAGGAATCAACTTCTATCATTCCATTACTCAATCTCAATTTGAAGAGTTGAATGCTGACCTGTTCCATGGTGTTCTGGACCCTGTGGAGAAGGTTCTTCAAAATGATAAACTAGGGCCAGGAATTTAGCTCAGTGATTCTGCTGCCTGCCTCTCAAGTGCAAGGTCCTAAATTCAATCCCAGTACCCTGGTACCCACCCCCCAAAAACAACAACGACAACAAAAACAACAAACAAGTAAAAAAATGCTGAACTGGACAAGTCACAAATCTATTACATTGTCCTGATGGGTGGTTCTACCTATAGCCCTAAGATCCAAAAGCTTCTATAAGATTTCTCCCATGGGAAAGAACTAAATAAGAGCATCAACCCTGATGAAGCTGTTGCTTATGGTGCAGCTGTTCAGGTGGCCATTCTGTCTGGAGGCAAGTCTGAAAATATTTAAGATTTTCTGCTCTGGGCACTCCCCTTTCCCTTGGTATTGAGACTGCTGGTGGAGTCATGATGCTCCGCATCAAGCGTAATACTACCATTCCTACCAAGCAGGCACAGACCTTCACTACCTATTCTGACAACCAGCCTGGTGTGCTTATTCAGGTACATGGACATGAGCATACCA